CTCTGGCCTGGGCAACAGAGTGAGACTCTGTCTTAAGAACAAAAACAACAGGAGAATCCAAGCAGGTTTAAATAGATGGGAAACAGATGGGGTCTAATCTAAGATACCACAATGAGAAGGAGATATGATTATGAGAAACACAAAGATATGAGTTGGTAGTAAAGGAGATGGGTGGGTTTACTGAGTACTGGTGTAAATCAGAGGTCAGGCACCATTTAAGTGCTTTATATTTACTAGCCATTTATTGATCATAACAATTTTGTGAAGAATATTATCCTCATTTTACAGGTACACATACATGCAATAACTAATCCAAGGTCATACAGCTAGTAAGTGAAAGAGCTAGGATTTGAACCTAAGCCACTTGGTTCCCGAGCCTGAACACTTGACCAATCACTACACTAGATCATCTTACTAACTGTAATTGAGAATGCCTAACATGTGCCAGGCATTGTTCAATCAAGTTAATCCTCATAATAATCCTACAAAGCAGGATCCTATAATCCTATTACTAAACAGCTAAGTAACTTGCCCAAGGTCACATAGCCGATGAGTGCTGAAGCAGGGTATTCAAACCCAGGTAGCTTGTTGTAGCTCTGATGCCCTTGCCAAATACTCTAGACCCCCTTGGTGGTACATTCTAGGGACGTGGTGGTAGTGTCAGATATATGTGCGGGGAAAGCACATGATAAAGGTGGGTACGAGAGTAGGACAGATGGCTGGGCACAATGGTTTATGCATGTAATCCTAGCATTTGGGGGGAGGTTGAGGCAGGAGGATTGCTTGAGGCCATGAGTCCAAGACCAGCCTGGGCAACACACACAGAGAGAGAGTGGAATAGGGGCCAGCCAGCTCATAAAAATATCTGGGAAAATTATGAGCTGACTGGCTGTCCGTGACACCCAGGGAATTTTCAACCCAATCCTTCTTGCTGAGGACATAGAAAAGACAAATGATCTCTAAACAGAAGGAGCCTAAACAGTTAGAAAAAATGGCCTCCCTGTAGTAGTACGTTCAGGAAGCTCCCTAGTGCAGAGAGGAATTATCTATTGGATATGGCAGAAGATGATGTCTAGCCCCCCACTGGATAACAGGGACATTGGATCTAATATAATGTTTCAGTCTCTGGTTTCAGGAAGGGGTGGAAAGTTTGCAGATACTTGAATGTTTACTGTGGACATCTGGAAAAGAGGTATGGTTGGGGCAAGCAAAGAAAGGTCATTTAAAATTTAACCCACTGGATTCCCTTTCCAAATAGCTTTTTTGTGCATGTGAGCTATGTAGGTTTCACGGTACACAAAAGTGAATATTGAATAATTGTGCTGAATATTATTTATTTATTTTTAGAGACAAGGTGTCCCTATCTTGCCCAGGCCAGACTCGAATTCCCGGGCTCAGGTGATCCTCTGTTTCAGCCTCCCCCAAAATACGAGGATTACAGACATAATCCACTGTGTCCAGCTTTATGCTGAATAGTAAGCAATGCAATTAGTTCATTTTTTTTTAGAAATTCATACAATAAACTTCTTAACTAAGGCCCAATTTGGATTCCACACTTATTTTTTTTCTTCATTCAGAGAACACGCCTCAGTAATCTAGAATAATCTCCAATGTTTAGAAAATCACGTTTGTCGGGGAAGTTTGCAAGATTTTCTTTTTTAAAGAAATAGATTTCTTTCTTTTTTTTTTAAATTTGGAACACAAACTCTTTCTTGAAGTTTGCAAGAAATTTTTTTCTTTTGTTTTCTTTCTTTTTTTTTTTAGTCCTGTATTTTGCAAAGGATGCAAGAATTTTTTTCTTTTAAGAAATAGATTTCCTTCCTTCCTTCTGGAAGTTTGCAAGATTTTTTTTTTTTTAAGAAATAGAGTTCCCTCCCTCCCTCCCCCACTTCCTCCCTTACCCCCTCACCCCCTTCCTTCCTTTCTTCTGGAAGTTTACAAGGTTTTTTTTTTTAAGAAATAGATACCCTCCTTTCTCCTGCCCTCCCTTCCTCCCTTTCTCCCTTCCTTCTGGAAGTTTGCAAGCTCTTTTTTTTTTAAAGAAATAGACTTCCTGGCCAGGCGCAGTGGCTCACACCTGTAATTCCAGCACTTTGGGAGGCTGAGGCAGAAGGATCACCTGAGATCAAGTCACGGATCACCTGGCTAATGGGGTGAAACCCTGTCTCTACTAAATATACAAAAATTGGCCGGGCATGGTGGCGGGCGCCTGTAATCCCAGCTACTCTGGAGGCTGAGGCAGAAGAATCACTTGAACTGGGGAGGTGGAGGTTGCAGTGAGCCAAGATCACACCATTGCACTCCAGCCTGGACACCAAGAGTGAAACTCCACGTCGAAAGAAAGAAAGAGAGAAAGAGAGAAAGGGAGGAAGGGAGGAAGGGAGGAAGGGAGGAAGGGAGGGAAGGGAGGGAAGGGAAGGAAGAGAAGGAAGGAAGAGATTTCCCTCCCTCCCTCCCTCCCTCCCTCCCTCCCTTCCCTGCTTCTGGAAGTCTGCAAGATTTTTTTTTTTTTTTTAAATAAATAGATTTCATGGTGTGGCAGGTGCCTGTAACCTACTTGGGAAGCTGAGGAGGGAGACCCTTTTGAACCCAGGTGGTGCAGGCTGCAGTGAGCTGAGATTGCACCACTGCACCCCAGCCTGGGTGACAAGAGCAAAACTTCGTCTCAAAAATAAAATAATAATAAAAAATTAATAATCAAAGAAATAGATTTCCTTCCTACCTCTCTCTATTTTTTGCTTTTTAATTTGGAACACAAACACTTTATTTAAACATGTATCTCAATTTCCGTGTGGCTGGCAAAAAATAAAATAAAGGAGCAGATTGTGTGTGGCACACCATGCTCATGGACCTAGTGGTCGAACCCAACATCCAAGACCCAGTGAGGAGCAGCCAAGCTCAGCGCCATCTCCAGGCCTCTGGCTCTGACTCAAACAGGGTGAGCACGTAGCCCTTGCGTACGGGGACTTTTACTCTGCGTATGATGGAGTGGTTTGTGTCATCCATAAATTCCTGTGTGCACTCTCCCCGAGAGCTGATTCTGCCCAGGACCTTGGTGACCCTGGCGGCTAGATGGGGGCACAAGGCTGGTGTCCGTGATGGCAGTGCGGCGGCTGTTGGGTGGAGAGAAGAAATAGATTTCTTTACAAAGCAAGTAATTATTTAAAATACACACCAAGTAAATATTTATTGAACACCTACTATGTGCTAGGTACTCGAAGACAGTATGTTACAAATTCTTGAAAAATAGTAGAGGTAGCAAAAAGCAGCCAAACTTTCAGCCCTGCCGTTAGAACTCACATTGTAGTGGGCAGGGAGAAAACAACTAGACAAAGGCCTAGTGCAAGGGCTCATGCGTATAATCTCAGCACTTTGGGAGGCATAAGTGAGCAGATCACTCAGGCTTGGTGGTCAGCAGAGAGAGAGAGAGAGAGAGAGAGAGGAGAGAGAGAGAGGAGAGAAAGAAAAAAAGCAGGGAAGGAATGTTGGGGGTGGGGAGGTGGCAATTTATATAGTTTGGCCAAGGAAGACAGTATAATGCACTTATTCCTTAGTTTAGAACATGTAGCATTTCACCTGTACCGGGAGATGCCTAATATATTTCATACATGACCAAAATAATAATATAAGAGGCAATAAAACAAAGAGCAGGGGCTTAGGGTTCTAGATATCAGCACTTTTTACGATTAAATGCATGGTAAGAATTCCTGTACTATATACACCTAGTTTCAATTTAACAACAAATTCTTTGGGGTCTCTCTTTTTTTATTTTTCCAAACATAGCTTCCCAAGGAGCAGCAGGGCTGAATGTTCTCTAGTCCAGGAAGACACGCAAGGCTACTGTGCTCGCTTTTATTTTTTTATTCTCCAGATCTCAAGACAGTGTCTGGCACATACGATTCAACACAAGTTTGGTGCCTGGAGCCAACTGAATATGCACGTCTGTCCAGTAACTGTTAACTACACGTGTTGGTCCGAGGGAGAGGGTGGAGCAACCGGATCTGCTCTATCACAGCCTGTCTCAGTGCTTCATTCAAGTCAGCTGGGTGAGGTTGGGGGGATTCCAGCTTCACGAGGGAAGTTGTGCTGAAACGCTTTCTGGCGTTATTCCTCTGCTGGGACAGCATGAATTTATGAAATGTGATCCTCTCTGCCCTAAAGCCAGGGTCTCACTGAGACAGCGATGGTGGGGCGAGAAATAAAGTTCGTGCTGGGCTTGCGTAGGGGACAGCGCCCCTGGGAAGCCCTTGTGGAGGCGAGGGTGATGCCCACTTCTTTGTCTTCCTCATTCTGTTTCAGTGGCCCTCTCGTTCCCAGTTCCAAGCTCCCCACTTGTTAGAGGAGTCATTGCTTACAAGGCATCTGATTTAATAAAACACGGCCAGAGTGATTGCATGTTAAAGTGAGTAGCTAGGCACTCACAGGGCTAAAGGTCTGAAAATAGCCGCATTCTAAGCTGACCAGCAATTATAATTACACAATATTTATGGCCATGCGCAGGCTTAGGTTGAAGGATTAATGGTCATGAGTGCACCAACAGCCCTATCTTTGGTGGGCACATCTGCAGATTCCACGTTTCATCACAGCTTCTCACAGTTTCCCCTAAGAAGTGACTACCAAAGGACGGGAGCTCCTCCTCCTGCGGGCAGAGGATGCCAGACTCTAACGGAGCAGATTCCAGTAAACTTGCTTCCTCCACTGCGCTCTATGACTTGCCTCCAATTCTTTCCTGCAGTAGACCCAAGAACCCTCTCTTGGGGTCTGAGTCGGGACCCCCTTTTTCCAGCAACACAACCGCGGGCAGCCTCCCCACCCCCAGGTGCGGTGGACCCCGGGTCCTCCATCTTTCCGGGCAGGAAAACGGCAGCCGGCGCTCCCCGCCCGCTCCCCTCCCCCGCAGTCCGGCAGTTCGCTCCGGCTCCGCCCGATAGCTCCCGATTTGCTCTTGCGCCGGCAAATGCGCGCGCTGATTGGCCGGAGGACCGTCGTCAAGCTGGACACGCGACTCTAGGGGCGGGACCAGGCGAGGGGTGACCGCCGCGGGGCGCGGACTGAGACGCCTTCATCTGTTCACGCGGCGGTGCGGATCAGGGTTCGCAGCGCGCGCCACCGGGGAAAGAGCGGTGGGCCGAGGGGGTGGAAGTGGGGTCCTGGGAAGACCCTGGGCTGTGGGCCGAGGGTGCGGAGTCGGGGAGGGGGGCGGGGGCACGAAGGGGAGCCGGGGACATGGCGCGTCCAGACGATGAGGAGGGGGCGGCGGTGGCCGCCGGACACCCACACGCGAAAGGATACTTCCCGTTGCCGAGGGGCGCGCCCTCCGGGAAGGAGAGCCTGGAACCGCAGAACGGGCCCAAAGCGGGTTCTCTCCCGGTGAATGGGGCCCCTCGCGACAGCCTCGCCGCCGCCTCGGGAGTCGTGGGCGGGCCTCAGACTCCTCTGGCCCCGGAAGAGGAGACCCAGGCCCGGCTGCTGCCTGCGGGCCCGGGGGCAGAGACCCCGGGGGTCGAGGGCGCCCCGCTGCCCCGGACGGCGCTCTCCCCGCGGCGCTTCGTGGTGCTCCTGATCTTCAGCCTCTACTCGCTGGTGAACGCCTTTCAGTGGATCCAGTACAGCATCATCAGCAACGTCTTCGAGCATTTCTACAATGTCACCTTGCTGCACATCGACTGGCTGTCCATGGTGTACATGCTGGCCTACGTGCCCCTCATCTTCCCGGCAACCTGGCTCCTCGACACCAGAGGTCTTCGGCTCACCGCCCTGCTGGGCTCCGGCCTCAATTGCCTGGGCGCCTGGATCAAGTGCTGCAGTGTGCAGCAGCCTCTCTTCTGGGTCACCATGTTGGGCCAGTGCCTGTGCTCCGTGGCCCAGGTGTTCATCCTGGGCTTGCCCTCCCGCATCGCCTCAGTGTGGTTTGGGCCCAAAGAAGTGTCCACAGCTTGTGCCACCGCCGTGCTGGGCAATCAGGTAAGGACTGGAGTGGTAGGTGAAAGTCGGATCCTTAAAAGACCAGAAAAAGTCGAGGCCTGAGAAGTACGGCCTATATGGATGAACTAACTGCCCCGGGAGGTGTTTGTCTATGAAAGAGGAGATGAAGTCGCAGGATAGGAGGCAGTCTTGGATTGAAAAGGTTATACATTTCTTTGTAAGGACAGAATTTTCCAAATCACCTTGTCATCTTGCTTTGAAAATCACCTATAAAATAATTAACTTGGCTGGGCGCGGTGGCTCACTTAACCGGGTCTGGTCGCAGGCACCTGTAATTCCAGCCACTCAGGAGGCTGAGGCAGGAGAATCACTTGAACCTGGGAGGTGGAGGTTGCAGTGAGCGGAGATCGCACCTCTGCGCTCCAGCTTGTTGACTGAGTGAGACTCCGTCTCAAAATAATAATTAACTGTATTGAATTGTGTATGCCTAGCACAGAAAACTTGTCAATGCAGTAATGAACAAGACTTGGGTAGATCTTATTTTTGTCACCAGTGTATTCTTTGTGAAAGGAAGGTATTGGATTCTGGGAAGATGTTTTCCATTTTGAGAGGTCATTGTGAAAAGCTCCTTTTTAGTTTCATATATTAGCAGTCCGCACAGTGCCTGGCACATAAGGGAAATAAAAATGACAGCTAACTAAAAGTTCTGGGCTGGAGGTGGTGGCTCATGCCTGTAATCTCAGCACTTTGGGTGGCTGAGGCAGGCAGATCACTTGAGGCCAGGAGTTTGACACCAGCCTGGCCAACATGGCAAAACCAAATATACAAAAATTAGCCAGGCATCGTGGTGCATGCCTGTAATCCCAGCTACTCAGGTGGCTGAGGCACAAGAATCCACATGCTTATTGCTTTATACTAATTTCTCTTATCTAAAAGTACAGAAGATGGAGTAGGTTGAACTGTAGTTGTCTGTATGTCCAAAATAATTTATGACTGATACTTGAGTTGCTTGCATTTGCAGGTTGGGACAGAAGCTGTTTTCTTAAAGTTTTTTTTTTTTTTTGTAGAAATGGGGTTTCTCCAAGTTGCCCAGGCTGCTCTGGAACTCCTGAGCTTAAGCTATCTGCCCACCTCTGCCTCCCAAAGTGCTGGGATTATAGGTGTGAGCCACCACGCCCGGCCATGATTACATTCTTCTTGTCACACATCTCTCAGTTTAAGTTCATTTTAAATATTCAGTGGCATTTCTTGATCCCATTTAGAGTTGCCCAGACACTCTCTTATATTATTATTTTACTTTTAATTCTCCTTATAGTACTCATCACTGTCTCATGTTATTGTTTACGTGTTTATATGTTACCTATTACTCTTCTCTTATTCCCACCATTAGATTGTAAGTTTCATGAAAATAAGCACATGGTCTGAGTGTACACAGTTGTATCACCAGCATTTATTACTCTCCATAAAACTATGTTGAATAAGTGAAGGAGCTTCAGACTCATACAGATATCAGCCAGCTAGATAGTCTCGTGGGAACTCTCTCTTGGATATCTCATGGGAACACACCACTCAAAATTGCTTTCTCCTTGCTCATTTCCCTTTATCTCTAATGCCACTGTCTTGGCTTGGGCCATCTGCAGCTTTCACCTAGAGCTTGCTAACTGTCCTCCCTATCTGCAGCCCTTGCTCTCTTCCCTCTGTTCACATTCATCCAGTGTGATCTGTCACAATATGCGAATCTGTTCAGGGCACATCCTTACCCCCCTGCAGTGGCTTCCATTGTCCTTAGGATAAAATTAAAACACTCTAACGTGACATATGGGACCCTCCAGATCTGCCTCCTTCGAGCCCTTCCCCTTTATCTGTCTCCACAACCCCTTTCCCCACAGACATATGCTTTCTCTGCTCTGTGTGGAACTGTCCGTACTTACAGTTTCTCCCAGGGTCATGCTCTTTTCCTCCTGGTCTTGTATGTAATGTCCTCTTGGCTTGGAATATTTCTTCACTTAACAACTCCAATTTCTTATTCAGATCTTCGCTTCTCTGGGAACTTTTTCTGAACCCCATTTCTTTTACTTCATTCTTTTTGATAGCTGAGTAATATTTCTATGTAAGGTGGTACTCTCTTAGCTATGCTGATCATATGTTCCAGTTTGCCTGGGATAGTCTAGGTGGTACACCTTTTGTCTAGTATAATTACTAATGAAGTCCCTTTCATTCTGAAGAGTGTTCTGGTTTGGACAATAAATGATGTGGTCTCCCCAGTCTTGGCGCTCGTTACGCCTCAGTCACAGTTCTGTATTACCACACTCTCATAATTACCAGTTATATTCTCTCTATCTAGCTTTTTGTAAGGGAGCAAAAATATTTGATAAGTGTGACTATCTCTGCCTCAGACTCCTTTCCTGGGCCCGTCCTCCTCACGCCCTTCCTCCTGAAAATGGTATCTTCCTCCATTGAACCTTTTAATATTTTGATTTTATTTCTTGTTGTGATTATGATATTCAGCCATTTTTTTTTTAGTTGAGGTAAAATTCACATAACATAAAACTAGCCATTTTAATGTGCACAATTCAGTGGCATTTAGTACATTTACAGTGTTGTGCAATGGTTACTTCTTTTTTTTTTGAGAAGGAGTTTTGTTCTTGTTGCCCAGGCTGGAGTGCAATGGCGCAATCTCGGCTCACCGCAACCTCTGCCTCTCAGGTTCAAGCGATTCTCCTGGTTCAGCGTCCCAAGTAGCTTGGATTACAGGCATGTGCCACCCCAGCCGGCTAATTTTGCATTTTTAGTAGAGATGGGGTTTCTCCATGTTGGTCAGGCTGGTCTCGAACTCCCAATCTCTGGTGATCCACCAGCCTCAGCTTCCTGAAGTGCTGGGATTACAGGCATGAGCCACTGCGTATGGCCACAACTGTTACTTTATCTAGTTTCAAAACATTTTTATCCATCCCAAAGAAGACCCAATACCTAAATACCTAGTAAACAGTCACTTCCCCACCATTGTACCCTCCCAGCCTGTGACAACTACTAATCTGCCTTCTCTTTCTGTGGATTGACTGGTTCTGGATATTTCATATAAATGGAATCCTGTAGTAGGTGACCTTTGTGTTTGGCTTCTTTCACTTAGCTTATTTGCAAAGTTCATCCATGTTGTAGCACTGTATCAGTACTTCATTCCGTATTCATAGCTGAATAATATTTTGTTGTATGGATATACCACATTTTGTTTATCTATTTATCTGTTGATAGAATGTTTGGGTTGTTTTCACCTTTGGGTTATTATGGCATTGGGAATAGGGCTGCTATGAACATTCACATATAATTATTAGTTTGAATTTCTGTTTTCAATTTTTGGGACACATACTTAGGAGTGGAATTGCTAGGCCATGTGGGAATTCTGTGTTAAACTTAAGAAACTGCCAAACTGTTGTCTGCAGTGGCTGTACCATTTTACAGTCCCACCAACAGTATATGCAAGGGTGCCAATTTCTCCACATTTTTGCCAACACTTTTTTTTTAATTACTTCACTGATAATAGTGCCTTACTTTATTTATTGAAGAATGTTTTTTCCACTGAAAATACACTTCTAATTTTAAATAGCTAGATAGTAGGAGAAAAAAATAGGAGCCCATTTAAAGAAAAAATCCACTCTTAGAATCTAAAGGTATTGATTACATATGGAATGACTTTTCTGCTGAAGACAATCAAAACTTTTTTTAAGTACTGACTTGCCAGTTTATCCTCGATAACTGATTCAGAAAGAAAAATGAACCTTGTGACTTTACATATGAGAATATGTACATGTACATATATTCTGAGAAGTTATGTCCCATGATCTGACCCATACTTCTGATTTAAAATATAACTAGTTCTCTCAATAAAACAGTATTAATTTTAAGATTTAAACTTAAATTGCTCTTTTACTGTACTGTTATCATTCTTTTCACTTTTTATTTTTACAATATTTCTATAAATAATACTAAACCCCAAAAATCTCCAATCTTGAAACCAACTTAGAGTTCTGAGGTTAGTTTCTAACTTTTAAAAGATTTTGTTAAAATGTAAAAAACTTGAAATTACAAACAAAAAATTTATAATTTTACAGTATATATCAAATTATGTTTTAAAAAAATTTCCAAACTGTTTTTATATAAGTAACTTTTTTTTTTTTTTTAATGAAACTCCTCTATAGTCCAGAAGAGGATATGTGGTATTGCCCCATTAGAAATCAATACACATTTCATTTTATTATGCTGGTACTTCGACTATTTCAAAGTAGTCATTTGGTAGAATCACATCACCTCTTTCTGATACGTCGTCTTTCTCTTTCCAGAAGTGAACAACCTCCGTTAATTTTTCAAGCTGCCGTTCTTGCTTTCTGCATCACTGCTGTGCGGTCTTGAGCTTTTTTCTGAGTTTTTCAACTTGCTGTGCTAGCTGATGAATCCTTTTCATCCTTTCCCGCTGGTGCACTGTATCCTCCACAGTATAGTGTGGTCACAAAAAATTGAGAGATTAACGGGGGTCTGAAGAGGTGGCATTAGTAATCCAATAGCAGCATCAACCTGGGAAACAGAAGGTGATAAAGGACTTGGGAGAAGCTGTTCTTGTGGCTCCAGAAGTCATCTTTCTTGTTATGTGGCTCAGTAGAAAGAAATATTGTGGGCACAGCGTTCTCTCTCCGTAACTTTTTTTTTTTGTTTGAGACAGAGTTTCGCTCTTGTTACCCAGGCTGGAGTGCAATGGTGCGATCTCGGTTCACCGCAACCTCCGCCTCCTGGGTTCAGGCAATTCTCCTGCCTCAGCCTCCTGAGTAGCTGGGATTATAGGCATGTGCCACCATGCCCAGCTAATTATTTGTATTTTTAGTAGAGACGGGGTTCACTATGTTGACTAGGATGGTCTTGATCTCTTGACCTCGTGATCCACCCGCCTCAGCCTCCCAGAGTGCTGGGATTATAGGCATAGCCACCGCGCCCGGCCTTTCCATAACTTCCTGTTGTACCCCCTCTTAAAGCAGTCTGGAGTAAAGTGCTCTGAACAAATACTGCTATACTTGGTGGGTTTAAAGTTTTTTCTTCTGACAGTTGCTTCCCGTTCTTTACAGAGACTGGGTCAAGTAAAAGGAAACTTGTGGAAAGAAACGGGCTTGTCCTTGTCGTAGGGGTTCTTGCAGCCATAGGTGGAGCAGGACTGCACCATCCTTCCGGGCCTCAGGCACTTCATTTCTGCAGCCGCAGAAGGCAGGGGAAGCTGCTTTCAGTGTCGCCACGCTCAGTTGGACACCCTCGTTTCTTTTGTAGCTTTGGCCAACAGTTACAGTGATGGTGGCCTCCCTCGGGTGTGACTAGTGTGCCCGTTTTGTTGTTTGCATTAGCAGAAGGACCACAGCCGTCACCCGTCTCCCATCTCTAAGATTGCGGAGGCAGCTTCAACCCCACCTCTGGCGAGGGGTGCGTCCCACTCGCCAACACTTCTCTATTGCTATTATTATAATAGCATGCTGCCTGGTGTGGAGTGGTATCTTATTATGGCTTTGATTTGACCATGTTTTAAAATGCTTATTGGCCATATGTGTATCTTTGAAGAAATGTCTATTCATGTCTTTTGCCCATTTTTAAATTGGGATATTTGCCTTTTTTGTTGTTGAATTGTAAGAGTTCTTTATATATTCTGGAAGCTACATCCTTATCAGATATATGATTTACAAATATTTTCTCTCATTCTGTAGGTCATCTTAGCCTTATTTTGTATATTCTTATTCCCTTTTCTTTTGTAGGTATCTACAGGGCAAGGACTGTATATCACACAGCTTTATAGCAGCATCACTCAGATAGTAGGAACTCAGTCAATGTTTTTTGAATAGGAAAGATATTGGTCAGCAATTTCCCTTTAACAATACAATTGTAACAAAGACATTAGAACATAGTAATTTACAAAGCACCTTAATAAACACTAGCTGTTTTCTTTATATTCTGTTCATTGCCAGCCTTTACTGTTTTCTCTAATGATGATAGCTGTTAACAGGACTATGTATTTTACAGCTTGGAACTGCAGTTGGCTTTTTGCTACCACCAGTTTTGGTACCCAACACACAGAATGACACAAATTTCCTGGCTGGTAATATCAGCACCATGTTTTATGGGACATCAGCTGTTGCCACATTTTTATTTATTTTAACAGCAATTGGTAAGTGAATTATTTTCCCTAAAGCTTAAATGAATGCATGATAGAAATTTGAGGATAACTAACTCTGGAAATTTTTGTTGATAATATCTCAAGTGTCATGTGCTTGTTTCATTCTTCCCATGCCCTGTCTTGCTCAGGTAATGAATGCTACAACCCTAGGGATATGTTATGGCCTACACATCTGTTTTTACATCGTAAAGGGTTTCAAGACTAATTCATTTATCTGTCTACTAACTGTTCCTCTTCCTAACTGTTGGTTTCAAGTATATTACCTGCCTCCCCTTCCCATATTCGCTTACGTGGTCTGCATCTTAAGCCTACCTAGCCAGGAACAAGTTCTGGTCATGCTTTGATGTTATGCACGCAGGCCGTGGTCTTTCTTGCAATGCTAAATTCTCCCAGGGATTTCCAATTTAACAGTTAACTGGATCTGAAAATGTTGACTAGTGAATGGTCCTGGGCAGCAGCAAGCTGTTCAGCAGAATTTCAAACTGTGGCAACTATCTACTTGTTAGGCCACTCCAGCAAAGCACGGCTGCCACCATTCGTCACTGAGTCCTCTCGTCTGGGCCTGTCTTTTGAAGCAGTCAGTCAAAATCAGCCGCAAGCAGCCATCATCAGTTTGGAAGAAGCTTTGGGAAGGTCTGCTTTTTAAAGTTTATTTTTAATGGGAAACTTTTGATTTCAGGGAAAAGAATAGGTAAGGTTTATGTAAGTAATATAGCTGCTAGCATAACTATAATATGGCCTTTGAGGCACTCATATCTGAAATTTATTTGAAAAGGAAAAGAACTAATAAAGTTGAAAGGCCATCTTTTAATCAAATTTATAATTTCATTATAGCTGGAGTTAAGTTTACATATTAGTTTCTATAATGGCTATAATAGTAATAGAAAATTCATATCTTATGATCTCCAGATATAAAATTCTTAGTTTTCAAAGAAATGAATGGTGAAGATTCTAGAGTGTTTGAATAGAAACTGCCTTGGTAGATGAACTGCCAGATCCAGGTATAGGAAGCTCAGCCCACATACTTAATTTTCCTTACTGTAAGGAGCAGAATGTTCTCTTGGTAACATGAAATATTCTGACATGTCTAATTCATTTATTGTTTTTTGTTTTCAGTTAGTTAGGGAGTGGCATATTTGTGATATGCAGACTACTAAAAAGTACACATTATTCCTATCCTATTTTAGCAGTTTAGCAAAGTTTTAAAAGAAATTTGTATTGTTAAAAAAAAAACAAATTTTTAAGTCTACTTTTCAGGTAGCCATGTTTGATTTTCTAGATGAAATACTTTTGCATAAATGGAGCTTCCATTAGCAATAGGTTTTTGTGGTTTGTTTTTTTTTTTTTGAGACAGAGTCTTGTGCTGTTACCCAGGCCGAGTGCAATGGCATGATCTCAGCTCGTTGAAACCTCCACCTCCCAGGTTCAAGTGATTCTCCTGCCCTAGCCTCCTGAGTAGCTGGGATTATAGGTATGTGCCACCATACCCAGCTAATTTGTATTTTCAGGTGAGACAGGGTTTTACCATGTTGTCAGGCTGGTCTAGAACTCCTGACCTCAAATAAGCCACCTGCCTCAGCCTCCCAAAGTGCTGGGATTATAGGCATGAGCCACTGTGCCCGGCCAGCAATAGGGAATTTTTTTTTTTTTTTACTTTTGGCCACAACTCTAGAGAAGGGATTTTTAAATATAAAATTCTCTCTTTTTTTTTTAAGAGACAGTGTCTTGCTCTGTCACCCAGACTGGAGGGCAGTGGCACTATCTGGGCTCACTGCAGTCTCAGCCTCTTGGTTTCAAGCAGTTCTCGTGCCTCAGCCTACTGAGTAGCTGGGATTACAGGTGTTTGCCACCACACCTGACTAATTTTTTGTGTGTTTTTTTGTTTGTTTTTGTTTTTGAGACATAGTGAGACTCTGTCACCCAGGTTGGAGTGGAGTGGCGCAATCTCAACTCACTATAATCTGTGCCTCCCAGGTTCAAGCAATTCTTGTGTCTCAGCCTCCTGAGTAGCTGAGATTACAGGCATGTGCCACCATGCCCTGCTAATTTTTGTATTTTTAGTAGAGTCGAGGTTTTACCATGTTGGCCAGGCTAGTCTCGAACTCCTAACCTCAAATGATCCACCCGTCTCAGCCTCCCAAAGTGCTGGGATTATGGGCATGAGTCACTGAGCCTGGCTTTTTTTGTATGTTTTTATTAGAGAGATGGGGTTTCACCATGTTGGCCAGTTTGGTCTCGAACTCCTCACCTCAAATCAGGTGAGGCCTGCCTCAGCCTCCCAAAGTGCTGGGATTATAGGTGTGAGCCACTGCACCCAGCCAAAGTTCTCTTTCTTTTGATTGCTTTTGTATCATCATGTAAATTCTGGTTTTCGTTTTTTATATATATGTATATCCTCTTAATTGCTGTCTCAGGAAGAAGTGAGAGAGTAAGAGATTGCATCTAAGATATCACAAAATTATACGTGTGATATGTATATGTTTAAACTGCTACAAATGTAAGATTTTTATTTGTTGAAGGAGGGAGACAGAATGATGATAATAGGTATGACTATTGGCATATTACCCTTTGTTATTTGAGAAATCAAAAGAGGGATAATTATGTACTTAACTAATTATGTACTCATGGCTTACAGGTAGAGAGTGGAAACAGAAATGAGGGGAAAGTAATGGGAAAATGGCATTGAAAAAAGGGCTCTTTGTCAAGTTTTGCTTGGAAGACTCTAATTTTAATTTTATGATCCCAAACATATTATAAAAGCAAGATAATACACAGTTGTGATCTGAAAGTCTTAAGTTGAAAATTGTGACATTTAAATAGAACATGTACTTGTTTCCCCCATTCCCGAATATTTGCTCTTGAGGAAACTTTGGATTATTTACAAAATCCTTACCAGTTTTAAGTTCCTTAATTACTAAAAGGTGATTTCACTTCACTCTAAATTCTACCTATAGTTACTTTGGAAGTCCCACCAAATTCTTATAAAATAATTTAAGTTTTTCAGCAATGTGACATGTACTAAATTGATTCCCAGTGGTCTACTTAGAATATTGTCTCAAAGGTCCATGCCAAGTAACTCTGTTCCTCTCCCTCATGGAGCTTATATTGAGTATAAGCCACCTAGTGTCCAGGAATTATCCAAGCTTTCCACTGATATTCACACTAATTCCTAATTCCTATTAGGAGAACTCTATTATAGCCTCAAACATTTGGTTTGTTGTTATGTGCCAAACATGTTTGGAGGCTTATTACATGCTTTTTCTCATTTACTCCTCATGACTCTATGAGGAAGATCCCAATATTCCCATTTTATAGATGAGAAAACTGAGGCACAGAATTTAGTTAAATCTAGTTTGTCCAATGTCGCAGTTAGCAAACACTGAAGGTCAGATTTAAGCCTAGACAATCTAACTCCATATATAAAAGTTATAGATAAAAATGTTATTTTAATTTTTACTGAGCCTCATTTTTTGTTTGAATTCAGATTCTTGCATAAATTGTAATGCTGTTGTATTTAAAAGCTATTCTTGTGCAGCAGAGTAGTAAATTATGTCATTTAACTCGTGTCAATTAAAATAATTTTCTGATTCACCAAAATAAGTGGATGACAGAAGCCAAAAGGAATCACAATAAAAATATTTAATATCATTGTACTTAAACACGTAAGTGTATAACATGTGTGCATAATTTTACTTTTGATTCTTTTTTAAGAGATGGGGTCATGCTCTGTTACCCAGACTGGAGTGCAGTAGCACGATCTCAGCTCACTGCACCATCGACCTCCTGGCCAGATTTAAGCAATCTAACTACCTCAGTCCTCTGAGTAGCTGGGACTACAGGTGTGCACCACCATGCCCGACTAATTTTAATATTTTTTGTAGACAGGGTTTCACCATAATGTCCAGGCTGCTCCTAGCCTGCCTTGGACTCCCAAAGTGCTGAGATTACAGGCATGAGCCACGATGCCCAGCTGTTTTTGATTTTTTTTTTTTTTTTTTTTTTTTAAGACAGAGTCTTGCTCTTGTTGCCCAGGCTGGAGTACACTGGCATGATCTCAGCTCACTGCAACCTCTGCCTCCCAGGTTCAAGGAATTCTCCTGCTTCAGCCTCACAAGTAGCTGGAATTACAGGCATACACCACCATATCTGGCTAATTTTGTATTTTTAGTAGAGATGGGATTTCTCCATGTTGGTCAGGCTGGTCTTGAACTCCTGACCTCAGGTGATCCACCTGTCTCAGCATCCCAAAGTACTGGGATTACAGGCGTGAGCCACCACGCCCAGCTGCTTATGATTCCTTTTTATTTTTGAGACGGAGTTTTGCTCTTGTTGCCCAGGCTGGAGTGCAACGGCGCAATCTCAGCTCACTGCAACCTCCGCCTCCCAGGTTCAAGTGATTCTCCTGCATCAGCCTGAGTAGCTGGGGTTACAGGCATGCACCACCACTTGATTCTTAATTCAAGGTATCTATATGTGGGCTGCAAACTTTTGACAGAAATACATTTAACATAGTCTGTAAGAATTTCAGTCTCCTGAGGCAGTCTCTGATTTTTTAAAATAAATATTCCTCAAAAAAGGCAATATATTTTGTGTTGCACTTGATAATTACAGAATTATTTTACATATATTGTATCATGTAATCCTCATAGCAGCTTGTTATTGTTATTTCCATTTTATGAATGAGAAAGCTATAAAGGTGGGGAGCAGGAATTTATTTCCTCAGAGTCATACAATGAGCTGAGGCAGAGCCAGGGTTTAAACATTTATTACATTTATTACATAATAATGTAATATCTGTCTGAATCACACAGGGACAAATCATGAAAATTTTAAAATGTTAAAATCTGATTTTAAAAAGTGATCCTAAACAGCAATAGACTTGCTATGTATTCATTATAGGAGGAAAAGTTTGAATGTGTTGCTCAAGAATATTTTGGCTGGTTTTTATGACTAATGCCAGAAATGGAGAATAACTGCTTCAAATAATCAGTTGTTTTATTGGTGCAAATTTTTGGTTGGGAGAAGAGAAAACAGTAGAATGCTGTTATTTTTCTGTTTCAAAGGAGAAAGAAAAAGCCATATTTCCTTCTTTGAAAGTGGCATTTAGGAATAAACAAGGTTATAGGTCCATGGCTTTTTGTTCCTCTTTCTTCAAGTAGACTTAAGTCCAACTTTACTATAACATGTAGCTAGTAAACACAGGATTGATTTTTGCCAAAAGATAGTTTGACTCCCTGAAACTAAAAGATAACACTTGTATTTAAAAAATAAATCTATTTGATTTAAGGACTGGGAAGAAGTATTTTCTTTTCTTTTCTTTTTTTTTTTTTTTTTTTTGAGACACAGTTTCTTTCTTTTTTCTTTCTTTCTTTTTGTTTATTTATTTCATTTATTTATTTATTGACAGTTTCACCCTGTTGCCCAGGCTGGAGTGCAGTGGCATGACCTCAGCTCACGGCATCCTTTGCCTCCTGGGTTCAAGCATTTCTCCTGCCTCAGCCTCCTGAGTAGCTGGATTACAGGCACCCACCACACCTGGCTAATTTTTGTGTTTTTAGTAGAGGCAGGGTTCGTCATGTTGGCCAGGCTGATCTCCAACTCCTGACCTCAGGTGATCCTCCTGCCTCAGGTCTCCCAAAATGCTGGCCACTGCACCCAGCCAGAAGTATTTTCATTTTTTGCATTTGAGTTCAGATTTGGGCCATTTAGACTTATTTTGCCATGGTAAGAGACTTAAGATTCATTAAATATCCATGACTACCTTGTAAGCATAGTTTTTATTTTCTGAAACTTTATTTATAACTATGTGAGTTGTGCATTACCAATCTTAGTAAAAAGAGATATTTCCTGTCTGATTAGGATACAGAAAGACTCAGGAAAGGACAACAGACATCCTAACAATACAAGAGCAGATAGAATGAAAGGAAGAGGAGGATTTGCAGCTTAAACCTTTTATGTGTACCAGTCTTCCAATGTAAGGATATTAAAAGTAAATATTTATGAGTTATATCTCTTCTTTAATTAGTTGTGAGATCTGTAAAAATAGAAGTATATTTTAGTTTGATAAGTTTTAGTTATATTACAGTTAATGTTTTGGTCAGCAATGAACTTTAATTTAGAAAAATTTTAGGAGCAAACAGGAAAATTAGAGAATTGCAGAACTTCATGGAAAATTTAAGGGTCATTTCTTACTTTCCCAGTGATTGTTTTTCCCTGGCTGGTTTTCAAAAGCATTTGGGGAGTTTTGTGATTAAAGTTTCTCTGGCTGCATCCTGGAGTTTCTGATTCTTTGAGCCTTGGGTTGAATCTCAAAAACTATTATTTTAAATTTTCCAAATGATTCCAGTTGATAAATCCATCAGATCTAACCCTCTTTCAAACTACAAAGCTGGTCTTCCTTGTTGGGAGAAAGAAATAGCCAATTTAAAAAACAGACAACAACAAAGAAGAAATCCTAATTTCTATTAAAAAATGTTTTTTCTTTTTTGCTGTCTGGCTAAGGATGGCAGAGAAATCCTAATTGCTAAAAAGAGTCCTAAACAATATTCTTTTCTGAATCCATTTACCTTCTTTTTCTTTTTGTTTCTTTTTATGTTTTATTTTGTTTTTTGAGACAATCCCACTCCATTGCCCAGGCTGGAGTGCAGTGGCATAATCTCAACTCATTGCAACCTCTGCCTCCTGGGTTCAGGCAATTCTTGCCTCAGCCTCCCTAGTTGCTGGGACTACAGGCATGTGCCACCATCAATGTCCAGCTATTGTATTTTTTTGTAGAGACAGGGTTTTACCGTGGTGGTCAGGTTGGTGTCGAACTCCTGATCGCAAACGATCCACCCATTTTGGCCTCCAAAAGTTCTGGGATTATGGGCTTCTTTTTTCTTGTTGAATTTACCCTGTTGTATCAATCTTGAAATATTACTTTTTCATGAAATCTCTGAAATGAAGATGCCTTTAATAATCAGTGGCATCTAGCATTTGTGGTAATTGAGACCTGATTAGGTAAAGACCTTCTGTTGATACCTGGCAAGATCATTGACTGCAAGCATTAGAGGATCTTAGACTGAATGAAGTACAATATTTTCCTTCTACTGGAGTTAACAATTTTCAAACAGTTTAAAGTTTTGAGTCAATACAAAGATTAGATTTTAATTTCTGCTGTACCATATTTTAGCAGTTTAGTCCTTTTATAAATAGTTTTTTTGTTTGTTGTTTTACAGACAAGATCTTGCTTTATCACCTAGGCTAGAGTGTAGTAGTGTGACCACAGGTCACTGCAGCCTTTACTTCTGGGCTCAGTGAAGTGATGCTGAAGCAATCTTCTCGCTTCAGCCTCACAAGTAGCTAGGATTACAGGTGCATGCCGCCATGCCCAGCTAGTTAAAACATTTTTTTTCTAGAGACAGTCTCGTTCAAGTGATCCTCCCATTTGACCTCCCAAAGTGCTGGAATTACAGAATTGCTGACCTATGAATTGGTGGCCTGTGAATTAGTCTTGACTTCTGATTAGCCTAACCCTAAAGAAATCTCTCTAGCCATCTTTTGTGGAAAGTTGGTAGATCCTTTCCTGCACGTCAAAAAGGTGGTCTCTAGATGTCTGCCTGGAGTGGCTCTGAAATTTCTAACTGGAAATGGACAGTGCTAAAACTTACAGTATCAGATATCATATACTACACCTTTACGTCTCTTACCTCTACCCCTATACTTTCCATATGCAGCTCAAGTGAGTTAGCAAGACCTAGGTCTGCTTCCGTGAATCCACCTGGATATTTTTTAGTCCCAGAGGTATACTTGGATAAGATGATAAACTTTATATCAAACTTTAGAAGAAAATGGTTACTAACTCAAGTCCTCTTAAAGTTCAGTAGTATATTGGGTTCCTCATACCTGATAATTTTTTATTTCTCTCTTTTCCTTTTTTTTTTTTTTTTTTTTTGAGAAAAGGTCTTGCTCTGTCGCCCAGGCTGGAGTGCAGTGGCGCAATCACAGCTCACTGCAGCCTTGACCTCCCAGGCTCAAGAGTTTTTACCCCTTCATCCTCCCAAAGAGCTGGGATTACAGGCGTGAGCCATTGTGCCCAGCCTTCATGTTTATCTCTAATTACAAATTGAACTAAATTTAAAAATAGAATTGTTGAATATTTGATGTAGTAAACATTAAATCTTTCTTAGGTAAAAGTAGAATAATCGGTAGGCAGGGTTGTGGCATATTGTGGATGGCTTTGCAGTTCACTTAGTGAATTGACCATATCTCTGAGTTTTAGTCAGTTTCAGAGAACTGAGATGATGATGTTAAACTGTTCTTCACTTAGAAATCAGTGAAAATAAAAACCCTCACCATAAAAGACTTAAACTACCTTTTTAAACTTAAACTGAATTCTGTCTGCTCAATGAGAAAGATACATATAATTAATTATATATTATCTATATATTAAATATACATAATCCTTTTCATGTATGTTCTCAGCCTTCAAAGAAAAACCGCAGTATCCACCAAGTCAGGCTCAAGCAGCTCTTCAAGACAGTCCCCCTGAAGAGTACTCCTATAAGAATTCAATAAGAAACCTGTTTAAAAACATTCCTTTTGTCCTTCTGTTGATCACTTATGGTAAGTGGTTTTCTTGTATTTTCTTTAATGTCTGTGTAAGCCTTTCAACATTGTGGATTCTTTTTATTTAACCTAGTGGTTTGAACTTCAATGAGATTGGCTTGTTAATGCTATAAAAATAATTATAGTATAATCATAAACTTAAATTTTAAACTAAAATTAGAAAATCCAGGATGGGCTAGGGGGAGGTGGCTCATGCCTGTAATCCCAGCACTTTGGGAGGCTGAAGCAGGCAGATCATGAGGTCAGGAGTTCAAGACCAGCCTGACCAATGTGGTGAAACCCCATCTCTACTAAAAATACAAAAATAAGCCAGGCATGGTGGCATGCACCTGTAGTCCCAGCTACTCAGGGGGCTGAGGCAGAAGAAATTGCTTGATGTGGGAGGCGGAGGTTGCAGTGAGCTGAGATCACACCACTGCACTCCAACCTGGGCAACAGAGCAAGACTCTGTCTCAAAAAAAAAAAAAAAAAAGAAAAGAAAAGAAAATCCAGGATGGATCTCCTTCTTACATGTTTTTAAAAATAATAATTTTTAAAAAGTAGTTGTTTGCTGAGTGTGATGGCTTATGCCTATAATCTCCCCGCACTTTGGTTGGCCGAGGCAGGTGGGTATCAGGAGTTTGAGACCAGCCTGGTCAATACAGTGAAACCCTATTTCTTTACTAAAAATACAAAAATTAGCTGGGCGTGGTAGCGCACACTTGTAATCCCAGCTACTCAGGTGGCTGAGGCAGGAGAATCGCTTTAACCCAGAGGCGGAGGTTGCAGTGAGCAAAGATTGTGCCACTGCACTCCAGCCTGAGCAACAGAGTGAGACTCTCTCGGAAACAAAAAAGAAAGAAAAAGAAAGTAGTTCTCAAAATAGACAAACGCTGTCTTCTTTTGTGAGTTCTCAGAGAGTATTTTAGGCCATTTGTGAACTCTAGTTATACCGGTGTAAGCATGTGGGAAGTGCTATCAGTAATACCTTTCTTTGACCCTGTACAAGCTGGCATCTGTTTTGACTACTCAATCAAAACTAGACACTAAGGAACTCACCTTAACCAGTTCTGACATCTAAGAATATTCTCTCTCTCCAGATCTTTCAGGATAGCTGACAGGTATTCATCCTAACACTGTAGCTTTGACTGTAGACACCAACACACTTGATTTTTTTCAGTTTTCTGACAGTTCATTCTTTGTTTCTTGTGTTAACTCCATTTACATGAACCACCAACACTGCCTATTTCTGTCTTACTTGCCTCCGGGAATCACTCACTGCTATTCCCTGTTTCACGTTTTTTGGGGAACACACACCCTAGTACATACATGTTTTACAAGTTGTAACAGATTAAGTCATTTCTATCAAGATTAGTTCCATTTTTTTTTAAACATTCTTCCATTGGTACACATTTTTTTTTAAAGTAGAAATTGCTAGTCACCAAAGTTGAGCATTTAATCTAATAAATTCCTATATACCCATGTCCTGTGTATGCCATCACCCAGCTTCAACAGTTAGCAGCATTTTGCCATTCTTGCCTCATCTATTTCCCCCAGTTTTTTTCCTGGAATTTTTTTTTTTTTTTTTTGACATGGAATTTCGCTGTTGTTGCCCAGGCTGGAGTGCAGTGGCACAGTCTTGGCTCATTGCAACCTCCACCTCCCATGTTCAAGCGATTCACCTGCCTCAGCCTCCCGAATACCTGGGATTACAGGTGCCTGCCAGCATGCCCAGCTAATTTTTTATATTTTTAGTAGAGATGGGGTTTTACCATGTTGGCCAGGCTGGTCTTAAACTTCTGACCTCAGGTGATCCAGCCGCCTTGGCCTCCCAAAGTGCTGGGATTACAGGCATGAGCCACCATGCCCAGCCTTTCCTGGAATATTTTAAAGCAAATCCCAGATGTCATATCATCTCATCCTTATATATTAATACTTCTGCATGCCATAGTTTGTTTTCTTAATTTTGCTGGTTACCTTCTTGTTTGGGTTAAACCTAAAATTCCTAATTACATGTAAGAAAATATAGTGGCTTATTGTTAAATAGTAGAGCAGATTCATTTCTTTTGCCTGTCACTTAAGGTGGCCTTTTTCTGATCACTCTTTTGTCACTCGCCTTCCCAATACAAAATTCTCTTTAAGCCACACTTATAACCAACCCCCATCACAGACATACACACAGACACATCTCCACCATATTCATATACACTGTTAATTCTAGTCTCTGTCATTTTGTGCCAACATTTCTTTTACCTGAAATGTGCTTTTTTTTTTTTTTTCTTTTTTGAGATGAAGTCTCATTCTGTACCTTGGCTAGAGTGCGTGATCTCGACTCACTGTAACCTCCACCTCCAGGGTTCAAGCAATTCTCCTTCCTCAGCCTCCCAAGTAGCTGGAATTACAGGCGCACACCATTGTACTTTTTTGTATTTTTTAGTAGAGACAGGGTTTCACCATGTTGGCCAGGCTGGTCTTGAACTCCTAACCTAAGGTTATCCACCCACCTCAGCCTCCCAAAGTGCTAGGATTACAAGCATGAGCCACCATGCCCGTCCTATCTGCTAATTTTTTCTGTAAGCAATCCTACAAGAGCTAGCTTAATGTTTGCCTCACTTCTTGTTCATTTTGGTGTTCATTCTTTTATTCATTTATTGCATCAGTAGTTATCAAATACCAACTAAATGTATAGTGGTGCTCTAGATGCTTTGTGGCTAGAAAGAGGAATGATAGATGATTTCTGCCCATAGGAAATTGATCATCTAACTGGGGAGATAATAAAAACATTTGAAAAGTAAACAACAATATAGTTGGTACTTATCAAAAGGATAACAACACAAGAGAAGCTGTATGGTGAGTGCATGCTGAAGGCCTTCAGGATATATCCTTGAGAAAGGATAAATGAAGGGAAGGCCTACGGATGGCAGGGAGAGTCTCACAGAAGAGAGTGTTTGAGCTAGACCTTGAAGAGTGGGTTGGATTTGAATAGTCAAAGGGGAAGAAGAAAACGGCACCCGTGAGGGCGTTAGATGGTATTTTCAGTGAACTCAGGTATCTGTGGAGTTTTGGTGTCTTTGATATCACATCACTTAATACTTACTGGGGCCAGGCACAGGGGCTCACACCGGTAATCCCAACACTTTGGGAGGCCAAGGCAGGCGTATCACTTGAGGCCAGTTCAAGACCAGCCCGGCCAACATGGCGAGATCCTGTGTCTACTAAAAATACAAGAATTAGCTGAGCATGGTGGTGTGCACCTGTAGTCTCTGCTACTTGGGAGGCTGAGGCAGGAGAACTGGTTGAACCCAGGAGGCAGATGTTGCAATGAGCTGGTATCATGCCACTGTACTCCAGCATGGGTGACAGAGCAAGACTCCACCTGAGGGGGAAAAAAAAAAAAACTTGACTGTGCATAAATAAGTTAATTACAATCTCAGCTTTGTTTCTCGATTTTTTTGCCCAGGCTGGAGTGCAATGCTGTGATTTTGGCTCACTGCAACCTCCACCTCCTGGGTTCAAGCAATTCTCTTGCCTTAGCCTCCCGAGAAGCAGGAATTACAGGTGCACACCAACCTATCCAGCCAATTTTTATATTTTAATAGATACGGGGTTTCACCACGTTGGCCAGACTGGTCTCAGACTCCTGATCTCAGGTAATCCACCCACCTCGGCCTGCCAAAGTGCTAGGATTACAGGCATGAGCCACTGCACCCAGCCTGATTTCATTCCTTTCTATGGCTGCATAGTATTCCATGGTGTAAATGTACATTTTCTTTGTCCAGTCTTTTATTGATAGGCATTTGGGTTGATTCCATGTCTTTACTATTGTGAATAGTGCTGCAGTGATCATACATGTGTTTGTATCTTTATAATAGAATGATTTATATTCCTTTGGATATATACCCAGTAACGGGATTGCTAGATCCAATGGTATTTCTGCTCCTAAATCTTGGGAATTGTCACACTGTCTTCCACAGTGGTTGAACTAATTAACACTCCCACTGGCAGTGTAATAGCATTTCTTTTTCTCTGCTACCTCACCAGCATCTGTTGTTTCTTCTTGTTTCTTTACTTTTTAATTCTGACTGGCATGAGATGGTGTCTCATTGTGGTTTTGATTTGCATTGCCCCAGTTATCAGTGATGTGGAGCTTTTTTCATGTTTCTTGGCCACATGATTGTCTTCTTTTGAGAAGTGGTTGTTTATGTCCTTTGCCCACTTTTTAATGGGGTTGTTTTTTTCTTGTAAATTTAAGTTCCTTGTAGACTCTGGATATTAGAGCTTTGTCAGAAAAGTGTTCTCCCATTCTGTAAGTTGTCTGTTTACTCTGATGATAGGTTTTTTTCCCCCCTGTGTAGAAGCTCTTTTGTTTAATTAGGTGCCAGCAGATGAACTTTCTGAACCTGATAAAGTTTATCTACAAAGACCCTGTAACAAATATTATGCTAAAGACAAACTTTAGAGCCATTCTCCTTAAGAATCAGTAAGACGTATCGCTTAAGGGCATTTACTGTCATCACTTCACTAACTGGAGGTCCTGGCTGGCTCCGTAACACAAGACTAAAGAAATAAAAGGTATACGAAACAGAAGGAAAAAATGTTATTGCTCATAATATGATTTTGCATATCAGAGGTCAGCAGACCATGGCCCATGAGCCAAATCTGGCCATTCCCTGTTTTTACAAATAAAGTTTTGTTTGTCTATATATTGTCTATAGCTGCTTTTGAACTACTAGGGTAGAGTTGAGTAGTTACATCAGAAACCATATGTCCTACAAAGCAGACAAAGGTTTGCTACCTGGTCCTTTCCATAAAATGTTTGGTGATCACCCGTCTATTAAAATAAGACAAGAAAACCTAGAGACAGCTGTTAAAACTAATGAGTTAGCCAAGTTACTAAGTAACTGACAATGTGAAAATATCAATTGTATTCCTATGTATTTATAGGAATTGTATTTCCATGAAAAGATATATTTTGTAATAGCAACTAAAACTATAAAGATTTCTTAGAATAAATATACCAAAAGAACTTCATAGAGAAAATTATAAAACATTAAAAGGCATAAAAGGAGACCTGCAGCCTGGACAGCATGGCCAAAACCTCTTCTCTACAAAAAATGCAAAAATTAGCCAGACGTGGTGGCTTGTCCCTGTAGTCCCATTACAAATAATATTTATATACATGCAGAATACTTTCTGATTATTTATGAATATGCATAAATTATAAACACCAGGCTCAAGATAGGGCTTGCCTTTGGGAAAGAATAGGATTGGGGAAAAGTCTGAAAAATGAATCTGAAGTACAGATGGAAAAACGTTAATGTTTGCCAAATCTGAGTGATATATGAGGATATTTGTTATATTCCCTATAATATTTTGTATGCTTAAAATATTTAATAATAGAGAAATAATAAACTTAGGTCTTAGCTTAATTTATGTTAAGAGTCTTACATAAATTCATACAATACATGCTAGGAAACATCAGGATTCAAACCCATCTGTGGTTCTCATAACACTTGTTTTCATTGTTCATTTTAAAAGTATTCTTCAGGAGGCTGACGCAGTAGAATCGCTTGAATCCAGGAGGCGGAGGTTGCAGTGAGCTGAGATCACACCACTGCTCTCCAGCCTGGGCGACAGAGAAAGGCTCCATTTCAAAAAAAAGTATTCTTTAACTGATTTTGTCTTATGAATTTTCAGTAAGTCTTTGATACAAAAAGGTGAGCTCTCTGAAACACAGTTTTTAGGCCTTGCACATTCATTGGCTGTAGTACACTGTAGGTATTTAGTAAACAATCCATTGCTTGACTGGTTGCCATATATAGTGTTGTATGTGGGGGTATGATTTATGGTTAATATATCTCAATCTAAATAATAATAATGTTAGAACAGAATTCTGCTCTCCTATCTTAGTAAATTTAGTGTTAAATTCATAGTCTACGTCCTGAAAGGGAATGGCAGTGGTTTTTAATTTCCTTTATCAACTGTCCTAAGAAATACATTTTCACAATTGTCACATAATCCATGTCACTTCATGAACTGGTAAATGACAAAATTTTAGTATTCTCTTTATTTATTATTTTAGGTATCATGACAATATCATCTTTATTATTGTAGGTATCATGACTGGTGCCTTTTATTCAGTCTCAACATTATTAAGTCAAATGATACTGAAGTATTATAAGGTAAGCTTCTGCTAATATCAGATTGCATGCCTGGCCAAGGATTTTTCTTTAGCAACATAATTGGTGTTAGCAGGATCATGAGGTTAAGGATTATGACATTGTTGCTATCAAATATTTACATTTGTTTTAATTGATAATATAGTTGTTAAAAAATGAAATTTCCACAAATTTAAAGATTTAATTGGCTTTTACTATCAATTCCTTTATTGGACAGTATCCCATGTAAAGATTTAGAAAGGCACTCTGATGAGCTGAGCTGAGGAGATGGACTTTACAGGCAGAAGACTGAAGAAAGCAGAAACAAGGAACAAAGAGCAGACTGGTTTTTACAAAGTTACTTTCCTTATAGGATTAATCCTGTAAGGAAATCCTATAAGGATTTGTTTTAAAACAACGGGGACTGGGCTCCTTCCAATGGACTGCTATGAATCTCCTTTTTTTTTACTGGAAAAGTGCCCCATGTTAAAGTTCAGTTTGATTATGTGGCGTCTGGCACTAGTGACACTGTTCTGTGTGGTCTGGTCTGCTGAGCCTAATGTGGAAGCTCACTCCAAAACAATGGGCTCCCATCATTTTAATTTAACATTTGATCCAGTTTATAAAACACAGTATGGAAAGCAGAAGTTACTATCCCTGTGACAATACATAAGTTTATTTTTAGGAAATAATCTGATTGGTTATATGGAAAAAGATAAAACATTTTTAAGGGAAATCAACATAAATCTAGATAAATAAATATCAAGTTCCTACTGACTTACCTTTGCTTTTGAAAGGATAAAGCAGTTGTACTATGTAAAAGCTATCCATTAACTTCCTTTTCAGACATCTCTACAGTCATGCCTTCCTTAATGACAGGAACACCTTCGGAGAAATTCACTAGGCAGTTTTATTGTTGAGTGACTATCATAGAGTGTGCTTACACAACCTAGATGGTATAGCCTCCTACTCACCTTGGCTATGTGGTATAGCATATTGCTCCTGGGCTACGAACCTATATAGCATGTTACTCTGCTGAATACTGTAGGCAGTTGTAATACAGTGGTAAGTATTGTGTATCAAAATATATCTAAACAGAGAAGGTGGAATAAAAGTACAGTATTAAAATCTTAGGGGATCATTATTGTATATATGATTCAATGCTAACCTAAATGTCATTATGGAGCACTTGACTATCTATACTTAAGAATGCTAACAAAAATCATTGTACTTCTAACCATAGAGGATTAACAAAAATTTTCTTTTTTTGTTCTTCTATTTTAGTTTTTTTTTCTGGTTTTAAAATATAATGCCTTTATATATTCTTTACCTGCCGTCCCCTTCTACCTTGACACGTGTACTGAATCGTCCTACTGTGTAGTTAATCTAATTGTTTTCCTTGACTATGAAAAGGTATGGAAATGTGAAGAATCTTAATTAGTTAATCCATTTATTTGATCAACTTCTTATGCAAATTGTTTTCAGGGAGAGGAAGTCAATGCTGGAAGAATTGGGCTAACGCTGGTAGTAGCTGGAATGGTGGGCTCTATTCTTTGTGGCTTATGGCTGGATTACACCAAAACATACAAGTAAGTGAAAGTAAATGCATGTATGGTGTATGACCAAAGGTATTTTGATTTTAAAGAACAATTTGCTTTTTTATTTTAAGAAATTTAAAAACTTATTACTTGGCTGGGCAAAGTAGCTCACACCTGTAATCCCAGCACTTTGGGAGGCCCAGGTGGGCAGATCACAAGGTCAGGAGATCAAGACCATCCTGATTAACACAGTGAAACTCCATCTTTACTAACAATTACAAAAAATTAACTGGTATGTTGGCATGCACCTGTAGTCTCAGCTGTTTGGGAGGCTGAGGCAGGAGAATCATTTGAACCCGGGAGGCAGAGGTTGCATTGAGCCAAGATCATGTCACTGCACTCCAGCATGGGCAAGAGAGTGAGACTCCATCTCAAAAAAAAAAAAAAATTTTTTTTTAAATGTTATTATTTAAAGACCTAGATTCTAACTAGCAGGTTCTCTTCATTTAACAAACGTTTCAATATTCGATGTGTTGTATTATTTTATTGGTCACATTTATTTAAATTTTGAGAACTTGGATAGCTTATGAACCTTCTTTCCTTCTAACAGTACTTACCTACTACTTCAGAACTACTTGTATTTTAAAAAGAGCCATTTCTGAGAAATATTTGACTTTTGATAGACTTGATTTTGTTTTTTGTGTGTGTGTTTTTTTTTTGAGGTGGGTCTCACTCTGTAACTCAGGCTGGAGTGCAGTGGCACCATCCTGGCTCACTGCAACTCCTGCTTTCCAGTCTCAAGTGATTCTCCCACCTCAGCCTCCTGATTAGCTGTGACCACAGGTGTGTGCCCCCACACCCAGCTAATTTTTTGACTTTTTGGTAAAGACAGGTTTCACCTGTCTTTACGCAGGCTGGTTTTGAACACCTGAGCTTAGGCAGTCCTCCCACCTCAGCCTCCCACAGTGCTGGGATTACAGGCATGAGCCACCGTGCCTGGCCTATCTTGTTCTTTTCTTATGTTTTGAGCTTAAATACAAAAATGAAAATGTAGTTCTTTCCCATCAAAAAAATATTGTTGAGCATAAGGCTTTATTTTGGTAAGAACTTTTTGGCTAAAGTATCCCCAGACTACAGCACCATTTAACTGTAGTATAATGTATATATGAAAATGCTGGCGACACAATGTTTTATACCTGCAATCCCAGCACTTTCAGAGGCCGAGGTGGGTAGATTGCTTGAGGCCAGGAGTTAGAGACCAGCCTGGGCAACATGGTGAAACTCTGTCTTTACTGAAAATATAAAAAATAGCCAGGTGTGGTAGTGGACGCCTGTAATCCTGAAGCTGAAGAAGGAGAATTGCTTGAACCCAGGAGGCGGAGGTTGCAGTGAGCTGAGATGTAGCACCACTGCACTCCAATCTGGGTGACAGAGCAAGACTCTGTCTAAAAAAAAAAAAGAAAGAATATACTATGTTAATTGCACTTTATATGATTATATGGAACAACCAAAATGCTAATACCAAAGAAAAAGTGAATGATACCGACTGGGAGACTAAGAAAGGGGTATCAGAGGCAGCATATTTTGCTCTGGGATTTTAAAAAATCACATTTTTTAATAGGCCAAAACTTCCCCCTGTACTTGGAAATGAATGGATGAAACTATTAATGAATAGATGAATGAAATATGGAACTGTGTCCCATATACCTTTCAAGGCTCAAGATACATTTGATACTATTAGTCTAAACACCACCAACAGTATCTCTGATCTTGAAATTCTCCAAGATAGTTCTTCCATAATTTAAGACAACACTTGCCATATCTTAGAGTGAAACCTGCTTGATTTATAGATGAAGGGAGCATATGTAAAGGATTAAATTTCTTAAGTCTTTCATCCATTGTACATTTAGAAAACTTGATAGGCATAGAAGTGTGTTCTTTGCCACTGCGGCTTTCTTCTCAGGGTAACTGCCATTCATTCACCAAATTTCTGTTGTGTGCATCTCTCTTGGATAAAAATTATGGCAAGCAGTATGCGATCCCTGTTCTTAAGATACTGAGGTCTAAATGGAGCAAATAAGGCATTTACATATGAAAAGTTAAACAATATAACAAACGAAAATCGATGTCATAGTTTTATAGTGCCCAAATTATAAGGGAATTTGGAAGAAAGAGAGGCTCTTATAAGCCGGTGTGGTTTTGGAAGGCATTTGGAAGAGGTAGAATTTGATCCATATCTTGAAATGTGAGTAGGGAACTATCCATCTGATGGCATAAAAATGATTTTATTCATATAGAAGTATCCCCATCTGAGCATTGGATATGGTGTGGTTTTGTTGTCTGCTGCTGCTGAATCTTAAATTAAAAATGCTTTACAATTTATGCTTTGGTGGATACATCTTCCATAGACAAGAAGAGGTGAACTTTGAAAAACAGAGGTTCATTACTATCTGTTCCGTAAGAGTGATGATTTTTATATGCCTAGGAGGATCAGACAAAATGCTAACGGCTTTGTTGTTTTTGTTTTAGACAGACTACTCTGATAGTTTATATTTTGTCTTTTATTGGAATGGTTATATTTACTTTCACATTGGACCTTGGATACATTATTACCGTGTTTGTTACTGGAGGGGTCCTTGGGTAAGTATCACATGTGTTTAGGAGGATTGTTAGCATGCTGTTATTATTCTGAAGTATTATTACTCTGGTTTTTAATTTTTTAAAAACCAAAGTTCATTCAAAGATTCTTTAACATTTTTAACTTTAAAGGATTCATTCTGTGTATATAAATGTGTAATTTTTTAAGAACTATTAAAAATTGGCTGTGTGCGGTAGCTTGCTCCTGTAATCCCAGCACTTTGGGAGGCCGAGGCAGGTGGATCATGAGGTTGAGAGATCGAGACCATCCTGGTGAACATGGTGAAACCCCATCTTCATTAAAAATACAAAAATAGCTGGACGCAGTGGTGGATGCCTGTAATCTTAGCTACTTGGGAGGCTGTGGCAGGAGAATCGCTTGGACCCACAAGGCAGAGTTTGCAGTGAGCCAAGATCACGCCATTGCACTCTAGCCGAGGCAACAAGAGTGAAACTTTCTCAAAAAAAAAAAGGAACTATTAAAAATTGTTTAAAATTGGTTTTTGGTATGCCATTGGTGAAAAAAGGGATGAGCCTTACTTAATCTGTGTAACTTTATTTGATTACAAAGACAATTGACTTATTAAACTAGAAGTAAATTGTTTTCAGAAAAAATATTGGTATTTGTTGCTTTCCAGTTCTGTGACCTAGGACTAATTGATCAATAATAAAGGTTCCTGGCCGGGCGTGGTGGCTCAAGCCTGTAATCCCAGCACTTTGGGAGGCCGAGGCAGGCGGATCACGAGGTCAAGAGATCGAGACCATCCAGGTCAAAATGGTGAAACCCCGTCTCTACTAAAAATACAAAAAATTAGCTGGGCATGGTGGCGCGTGCCTGTAATCCCAGCTACTCGGGAGGCTGAGGCAGGAGAATTGCCTGAACCCGGGAGGCGGAGGTTGCGGTGAGCCGAGATCACGCCATTGCACTCCAGCCTGGGTAACAAGAGCGAAACTCCATCTCAAAAATAAATAAATAAATAAAAATAAAGGTTCCTTACTTTGACATAGCAGCTTCTGAATACTCACTTACGTGGTCATTAGAATAGGCCCAAGAAGCAGAATAATTGCATCAGTGTGTGATTGTGACCTTCTGATAATTCTTTCTGTAATTCTGGATTTATTTTCCTAGCTTCTTCATGACTGGTTACCTCCCTTTGGGTTTTGAATTTGCTGTTGAAATCACTTACCCTGAATCTGAAGGTACTTCATCTGGTCTTCTTAATGCTTCTGCACAGGTAAACCTCTGAGTTCTCTAAACCTGAGATGATTATTGTACCAGATATATTCTAGTGCCTAATGAGTTTGACCATGGTTTATTTGTTGTTGTTTTGTTTTGTTTTTGGAGACAGGGTCTCGCTCTGCTACCCAAGCTGGAGTGCAGTAGTGCGATCGTGGCTCACTGCAGGCTCAAATTCCTAGGCTCAAGCAATTCTCCCTCCTCAGCCTACAGAGTATCTGGGACTACAGGTGCACACCAGCATGCCCAGTTACATTTTTCATTTTGTTATTTTTTGTGGAGATGGGGTTTCGCCATGTTGCCCAGGCTAGTCTTGGACTCCTGGGCTCAAGCAGTCCGCCTACCTCAGCATCCCAAAGTTCTAGGATTACAGGTGTGAGCCACTGTGCCCAGCCTGACCCTGGTTTTTGTTTTAACAATTCAACTTTTCCATGAATGTTTCTAGAAACCAAATCATATAAACAGAATAAGTTAAGAAAAATTCTGGTGAAAACTTTATTCTTGTTTCAAATAAGTAAACTTAATAACATGACTTTTCCTATTGTATTTTAGATATTTGGAATTTTGTTCACATTGGCTCAAGGAAAGCTCACATCAGACCACAGCCCTAAGGCAGGGAACATTTTCCTCTGTGTCTGGATGTTTATAGGCATCATTTTAACAGGTAAATTAGGGCATCTGCCTGGCAAAGGGACTTGTGTCATGTGTTTATATTTAGTTTTCCTGTATGTTGCTTCTCAGTGGCTTGGCAGAACTCAAGGGGAAAAAATGAGGTAAAATGCAGGACATTATTTGTTCTCTTCTAAGGACATGAATCTGTTACTTCATTTTGTAGATTTCAAATTCAATACAGTTACTCTGCCTAGCAAGCAAAACTGCTGTAATAAGTAGTAAAGGCTGGTGTGGTGGCTCCTACCTATAATCCCAGTACTTTGGGAGGCGGAGGCGGGCAGATCACTTGAGGTGAGGAGTTTGAGACCAGCCTGGCCAACATGGTGAAACCGCATCTCTACTAAAATTAGCCGGGTGTGGTGGCACAAACCGGTACTCCCAGTTGCTTGGGAGGCTGAGGCAGGAGAATCCCTTGAACCCAGGAGACAGAGGATGCAGTGAGCTAAGATTGCACCAGTGCACTCCAGCCTGGGTGACGGAGTGAGACTCTGTCTCAAAAAAAAAGAAAAAAGAGTAGTAAAGACCTGGAGGTGGGAAGGGGGCCTGGCCTCAAATTCCGATTCTGCTGCTCCCTGGGAGTGTGACTTCAGACAAGTTGCTTAACCTCTCAAATCCTCCTTTCCTCATTTATATAATAGAGTGTTAAAGCCTGCTTTATAGGGTTACCATGAGGATTACTTTGAAATGGTTCGTGAAAAGCTTCTAGTGCCTGCCACCTGGGATGTGCCTAACACGTGTTACTATTGCTATAATGTGGTAGAGGCGGTAAACAGTCCAAGTGGTAGTGGTGGAAATAGTATGTGGAATCCTCAGCTAGTGCTTATACTTCTTAGATTTAATCATCATAGACATAAGCAGAAAGGAAAATAGTGCCCAATCTCCAGAGAAAGAGAACGTCAAAGAATTTTTATCCATAGTTTGCCCATGCACATGGTGTACAACAGATTTGGAAACAGGAATTATGTTCAGCACTGTTTCCAGGACCATGTTGGCTTCTAATTTGTGTATTTCCTTCTGTATCCCTTTATCATCATTAGGGACAGAAGTTTTGGATATTCAGGATTATAGTCAGCCCTTTGTGTATCCCATGGGTTCGTCATCTGCGGATTCAGCCAACTGTGGGTTGAAATTAATTGGAAATAAAATGGATGGTTGCATCTGCACTGAACATGTACAGACTTTTAAAATGTCATCATTCCCTAAACATAGTATCCAACTATTTACATTGTATTAGGTATTAGTGATCTAAGGATGGTTTAAGTATATAGGAGGATGTGTGTACATTATATGCAGATGCTACCCAGGGATGTCTAATCTTTTGGCTTCCCTGGACCACATTGGAAGAATTGTCTTGGGCCACACATAAAATAATGGTAATGATAGCTAATACGCTAAAGTAAAAAAAATTGCAAAAAATCACATAATGTTTTATAAAATTGGTGAATTTGTGTTGGGCCACATTCAAAATTGCCCTGAGCCGCATATGGCCTGCAGGCCACAGGTTGAACAAGCTTATACTACACCATTTCATATAAAGAACTTGAGCACTCATGGATTTTGGTATCTGAGGTGGGGTCTTAGAACGAATCCCCCGCAGATACCAAGGGAAATTGTGCTTCTTTGATCTGGTTATAACTTAGTTGGAGGATAGAATCTATCAGAAAGATGTGAATCAAGGTTTCTTTTACTGTTTGTTGAATACCTCATCATTCTTTGTGAAACCTTCGTATGAAATCCCACCAGTGATAAACATTTTGGATAAATACAACCTCCTAAGGTCACTCGTTCATTATTGTATGAATGACAGGAACTTGAGCATTCATTTATTATGCTAAAAGAAAGTGAAAACAGTCTGTTTCCTCAAAGAAAAACATGTTATCACGAGGAATTTTTCCCCTCTACCCGGTTAGTAAAATAAAACATACAAAACGAAATATGTAATACATTAACTGCTTTAACTATTGCTCTTTCATAAGTAATTCCATGTTGGTTCTTAATTTCTAGGCAAGTACTATATGTTTATCAAAGAGTATTATTGTTGGCCAGACATGGTGGCTCATGCCTGTATAACCAGTACTTTGGGAGGCTGAGGCAGGCAGATCATTTGTGGTCAGGAGTTCAGGACCAGCCTGACCAACATAGTGAAATCCCATCTCTACTAAAATCACAAAAAATTTAGCCAGGTGTTGGGGCACACACCTGTAATCTCAGCTACTTGAGAGACTGAGGCAGAAGAATTTACTTGAACCCAGGAGGCAGAGGTTGCAGTGAGTGAAGATCACACCGTTGCACTCCAGCCTGAGTGACAAAGCGAGAGTCCATCTCAAAAAATCAAGTATTATTGTTATACCAAAGAAGGGAGCAGTTTGTAATTCCCTTTCACATTACTTTTATGTGAGATTCATGAATACTAATTCAAACAAATCAAGTCTAGAAAATTAAGAAGTGAAAATAGATCTTTAAAATTAGTTTTACATTGATGCTTTTACCATTTAAATGTGAATTAATTTCTCTGATATGTTGAGTATTGTATTAGAGCTTTGTTATATCTGTTTTGGTCATCTGTGATAGTGATCTTTAGTATTACTATTGTAATTGTTTAAGGGCATGATGAACTACATGCATAAAAGATAGTGAACTTTAAAAATAAATGTTTTGTGTGTTCTCACTGCTCCACTGACCAGCCATTCCCAGATCGCTCTGCCGTTTGTTGGTTTCCCTATTCCCTGAGATACAACAATATTGAAATCAGGTCCCTGATTCATACCCCAACAATGGCCTCTAAGTGTTTAAGTGAAAGGAAGAATAGTAAATCTCTCATTTTAAATCAGAAGCTAAAAATGATTAAGCTTAGTGAGGAAGTCATGTTAAAGGCCCAGATAGGCCAAAAGCTAGGCCTTTTGCACCAAACAATCAGCCAAGTTGTTAATGCAAAGGAAAAATTCTTAAGGGAAATTAAGAATGCTACTCAAGTGAACACACAAATGATAAGAAAACAAAACAGCCTTATGATATGGAGAAAGTTTCAGTGGTCTTGTTAGATTATACCAGCCAGGTCTTGTTAGAAGATTATACCAGCCACAGCATCCCCTTAAGCCAAAGCCTAATCTAGAGCAAGGCCTGAATTCTTCAATTCTGTGAAAGCTGAAAGAGGTGAGAAAGTTGCAGAAGAAAAGCTGGTAGCTAGCAGAGGTTAGTTCATGAGGTAAGGAAAGAAGTTGTCTTCATAACATAAAAGTCCAAGGGGAAGCAGCAAGTGCTGATGTAGATGCTGAAATAGGTCATCCAGAATATCTAGCTAAGATGAGTGATGAAGGTGGCTACACTAAACAAATTTTCCATGTAGATGAAACAGCCTTATAGTGAAAGAAGAGGCCATGTAGGACTTCCATAGCTAGAGAGGAAGAATCAATGTCTGGCTTCAAAGGACAAGGTAACTGTCTTGTGAGGGGTTGATGCAGCTGGTGACTTTAAATTGAAACTAAAGCTTGTTGACCATTCTGAAAATCCTAGGGCTCTTAAGAATTAGGCTAGATTTACTGTGCCTAAGCTCTGTCAGTGGAACAGTGAACTTGAAACCTGTAGTGGAGCGTACATCTGTTAATAGCATGGTTTGCTGAATATTTTAAACCCACTGTTGAAGTCTGCCACTCAGAAAAACATTCCTTTCAAAATATTACTGCTCTTTGACCAATTACCTGTTTACCCAAGAACTCTGATTAGGCTGTACAAGGATATCAATGTTGTTTTCATGCCTGGGAACACAGCAGCCCATGGATCAAGGAGTAATTTCAACTTTCAAGTCTTATTCTTTAAGAAATACATTTCAAAAGGCTGTAGCTGCCAGAAATAATTATTCCTCTCTTGGATCTGGGCAAAGCAAATTGAGAACCTTCTGGAAAGGATGCACCATCCTAGCTGCCATTAAAAACATTCTCGATTCATGGGAGAAGGTCAGCCTATCAACATTAACAGGAGTTTGGAGGAAGTTAATTCCCATCCTCATGGATGATTTTGAGGGGTTCAAGGCTTCAGTGGAGGAAATAGCTGTAGATGTGGTAGGAATAACGAGAGAACTGGAATTAGAAGTGGAATCTGAAGAGATAACTGAATTGTTGCATCTCATGATAAAACTTGAATAAATGAAGGGTTGCTTCTTATGGATAAGCAAAGGAAGTGTTTTCCTGAGTTGGAATCTACTGGTAAAGATGCTGTAAGTATTGAAATGACAGCGTGGGATTTAGAATATTATATAAACTTAGTTGATGAAGCAGTGACAGGGTTAGAAAGGATCGACTCCTATTTTGAGGGAAGTTTTGTGGATAAAATGCTATCAAACAAGTATTGCATGATAGAGAGATCTTTTGTGAAATGAAGAGTCGATTGACATGGCAAACTTCGTCACTGTCTTACTTTAAGAAATTGCCACAGCCACCCCCACCTTTTAGCAACCACCACCCTCATCTGTCAGCCGCCATCAACATCAAGGCAAGACCCTCCACCAGCAAAAAGACAATAACTTTCAGAAAGCCTGGATAATCATTAGCATTTTTTAGCAGTAAAATATTTTTAAATTAAGGCATGTACATGGATTTTTTTTTGTTTGTTTGAGACGGAGTTTCGCTGTTGTTACCCAGGCTGGAGTGCAATGGCACAATCTCAGCTCACCGCAACCTCCTCCTCCTGGGTTCAAGCAGTTCTCCTGCCTCAGCCTCCTGAGTAGCTGGGACTACAGGTGCGCACCACCATGCCCAGCTAATTTTTGTATTTTTAGTAGAGACAGGGTTTCACCTTGTTGACCAGGATGGTCTCGATCTCTTGACCTCGTGATCCACCCACCTCGACCTCCCAAAGTGCTGGGATTATAGGTGTGAGCCACCACGCCCGGCCTATACATGGATTTTTAAGACGTAATGCTATTGCACGCTTCATAGACTACAATATAAACATTATTTTGGGGGGAATATCTTGATGAATTTTTTTTTCTTTTTTTGTAAACATAACTTTTTATGCACTGGAAAACCAAAAAATTTGTGTGACTTGCTTTATTGTGCTTACTCTTTTGTGGTGATCTGGAGCTGAACCCACAACATCTCTGAGATACACCTGTACTGTCTTCTGCCTAGAAAGCCTTCCTCTTCTCTTTGTCTGCTTGACAAGTTATTACTCACTTTTTTTCAAGTTTCAAGTATGTCTTCTCTGGCAAGCCTTCTCTAATTTCCTTTGGTTGACATAGCCATTTTTGCTCCCACTTCCCCACTATACCTTGCAGTTATCATATACTGTTAAACTTGTTTATGTGTCAAAGTTTCACTTGATTGGAGAGTCCTTTAAGGAAAAGAATTGTGCTTTTCATCTTTGTCTCATTTTTCAGGCTGTTGAGATGCTATTAAATTTCATGACATTATAGTGTATTGAATTGACAATAGTAAGAAAGACTGAGCTGCTTTAAAAAAAAATAGTAATTTCATTGACGCCTCTCTGTTTCAGCATTAATCAAGTCTGATCTGCGAAGACACAACATAAATACAGGAATTACCAATGTTGACATTAAAGCTGTAAGTAATGAGTATTTTTATGATTATACTGTTGAGAAGTGTGCATAGAGTAAATGTCAAACCAGGTTTTTTTATTTAGCTATTTTTCCCCCATCAACTGTTGATCTTTTATAATAGAATATGCCAGATGCTGTACATTTTTAATCTTCTGATTATTTTTATAGGTACCAGCTGACAGTCCTACAGACCAAGAACCAAAAACAGTTATGTTACCCAAGCAGTCAGAGTCAGCAATTTGAAGAGAAAGAAAAAGTTACCGTCCTGTAGTAATTGGGGACAATGTGATATGCTTGGAGAGATATGAGCACCAAGGCTGGGTTTGCATGTGGTGGGGGAATAGACGCTTACTTGAAAATTACCATATGAACTCTAAATGCGTAATTATTATTTTGCTTAATTGTTAATTTAAGGGAAATTTTCTTAAAATGCTTCTGTTTACATCATGTTAACACTACTATTTATCTAATTTGTATCTGGTTTTTAGTCTTGTATCTGAAAGTAAGCTTCTTGACATTTACTTTTCAAAAGTAGATGTTTTTCTTTTTTGCAGAAAATGGAAGCTTAGAAGACTTTTTAAAGTGGTAATATGGGGTGTTCAGTCCCCATAAGATACATAATAGTTCATGCAGTTTATACATTAAAATATCCGGTAGAACTAAATGTACAATATATTCCTAATTGACTGCCTTTCCACTGTGCTGACCAACTGTCCAAGCCACTTCAGTAGGAGTACAACATACCAACATGACACCACTCACCCACAAAGAACAGCATGGGCATCAGGCTTTCAGATTTTTCCCATTCTTTACAACAAGAATACATTTTCCCAGTGTACTCTTGTTACAAAGTACTTTTTAACACACACAGTCAATGGCTACAAAAACTATTCTGTGTACAGATTCTACCCATAACTTTGGTCTTAGAATTATGTTCTAATTAAGGCAAGGAGCCCAATTACAGGCTCATTTTCTCTCAGGTTCTTTTCTGTGCTGCCTTTCTATCACGGATAAAGGCTAACACTGTATTTTGTCACTGCAGCTTGAAATAGAGTAGTTTTGTACCCATTGCCTTTTTTTCTTTTAAACTCTCTTCCTTTTTTTTTTTTTTTCTATGTATAACTTTCTAGTAAGACAATTTTATCATATATGTTACTGGCTATTTCATGATTTCTTGTATCTTATCCTGTATTTTGCCTTGAAGATTCCTGAGATAAGGAAATCTGTAATAACTTCAGATAGCCTACATGTCCCCATTTAGTGGAGACCTCTTGAATGCTGTTTGAATTCTGCAGCATCATGTTTATGACCGTTCTCCTTTGAGGAATGCTGTGCCTGGGTACGTGCTCCATCTGTGTGCTGGGAGAGTGGATTCTTTTCTTCAGTGCAGAGTATAGTAGTCATCACACTGTTGGAACAGTCTGCTGTTTTACAAGCTCAGGTAAGGAAAATAGGACCAAATATATTTCCACAGTGCCTACCACTGTCATGTTTACAGCGAGACTTTAAATGTTGTTGATGTCCTGACTCTGAGCTTGTAGGGAATATCTTTACAGTAATGACATTTGATCAGCCACAAAATTTACATTATGTTCATATGCACCCAAAAAAGCTAGTCAAGTAATGAATACCCTTGAAGTGAATAGCAGTTTTGATTTAGGCAGTATGTTAGGCCATCCTTACATCACTATAAAGAAATACCTAAGGCTGGGCACAATGGCTCACATCTGTAATACCAGCACTTTGGGAGCTGAGGTGGGTAGATCACTTGAGGCCAGGAATTGAAGACCAGTATGGCCAACATGGCAAAACCCCATCTCTACTAAAAATGCCGCGTGCGTGCACACACACACTAGCCAGTCATGGTGGTCCACGCCTGTAGTCCCAGCTACTTGGGAAGCTGAGGCATGAGAATTGCCTGAACATGGGAGGTGGAGGCTGCAGTGAGCTGAGATTGCACCACTGCACTTCAGCCTGGGTGACAAAGCGAGACTGTTTCAGAAAGAGAAGAACAGAAGGACAGCACCAAGCCTTGAGGGATCCACCCCCAGGACCCAGACACCTTCCATTAGGCCCAACCTTCAACACTGGGGATTATATTTCAACATGAGGGTGGAGGGACAAGTATCTCAACTATATCAGGTAAAATATATGCTTTGATATATATTGAAATTATTACATTCTCTGTAATCAAGTGACTGTAAATTATGTAGAATCTGACCCTGGGGAATGTGTTACCTAAAGAATTTGACTAAGAATCAGGAACTCTGTGTCCATGTCCTGGATGTGTTTCTGCATGTTCCTGTAATCTGGACAGTCTTTAAACCTCTGGGCAGCATTTTCCTCATCCATGAAATGAATGTGTTTAGTTTGATCTCAAAGGTCTTTTCAAAATAGTAAATGCTATTAATCATATAATAGACCAAATTATTATAGCACAGAAACTGGAAACCAGCCAGAGAGAAATTCCCTGGACAGTTGGATAAACAAATGTGATTGCTACCTTATGGATACAGGGACTGTTAAATTTCTTTTTAGCCTTTTTAGTCAGTTTCTCAAGCAGAATATGTCCAATTATTAGCTTCCTTTGATACTTACAAGTGAAGACAGCCAAAAATATATTTTAAGGTCTCCCCAAATAACTTTTTATTTTTAAACTATCAATGTTGTTTAAAATAATCATGTACTTGTTGAGTTCCTGAGGTTTTGAACAAATTACAAATAAAATTTAGAATACTTTATTTCTGAAAAGCATATACATATACGTTATGTGTATTTTTCCTTGGTTAGAATGGGGATGAAATATGATGTGACAGAACGCAAAATGAATTGATAATTTTTCTGTATTTTGGGTGAAAGTTGTCTGTAATACATCAAACAAGAATGTTAGAATTCTACAGTAATGTGTGATTTCATGACAGAGCTATATTCTGAGAAATGTGTTAGGTGATCTCATCATTGTGTGAACATCATGAAGTGTACTTACACAAACCTAGATGGTAGAGCCTACTACACACCTAGGCTGTATGGTGTAGCCTATTGCTTCTAGGCCACAAACCTGAACGGTATTAAATGCGGTAGGCAATTGTAACACAATGGTATTTGTGTAATCGAAAGATAAAACAGATAATACATTGTGCTGCATTGTAACAATGGCTGTGGCATCACTAGGTGATAGGACTTTCTCAGCTCCATTATAATCTTATAGGATCACTGTCATATGTGGTCCATTGTTAATTGAAGCGTTATGTGGCACATGACTATGTCATATTTTTGGAAAATGAAATAGGTAATTATCACTTGTGTGAATTTTAATCAAATGATTTAGGAAAGAAATGATTTCAAAAGCTATTGCATTTATTATAAATGTCACAAATATAGCTCTTGCCTTTTGAGAATGTTGGAGAAATGTCTTTAAAAATATGTCTGTATGTAAAAATGTGTCTGTATGCAATAGCTAGAAAAATGCCTGTCTTAAGTCATTACTCAAGTTCTGATGTTCACTCTTTGTACTATTTATCGGTATGCTTGTTCTTCAGTATTTCAGACTCAAAATAAATTTATTTTTTTATGTATTTTTCTATGGCTTCAAAAAAATTCTGCTGCTTAGGTAAACATGGGAAATTTAAAGGGATTATGAAATTTCAGAATGGGCAGAGAGGAAATGCGGTAGTGTCTGGAACGTAAAATAAGGAAGCAAAGTCTCCCAGGGTGAAGGCTGAAATAGATGCTAAAATGTCTTACTCCTGTAAAAGTAGCTTTAGACAGTGATGGCAGCAAGACGGCAGAATCTTCATCAATCTTCCACATAAGCACTGATTTTCCTTTGTAGGAATCCAGACGTCCAATGTAGAAATTCCAACACACCATTAAAGCAGAAATATGTGAGAATAGATGTATTAAAGAAAGGAGAACATTTTCACTTTACCTTGTATATCACTCCTCCTTGAAGCTGGCACAGCTTAGTGGCAAGAGAGACTCCCCTCAGTCCATGATTTCTCCCATGGGAGAAGGTGATAGCATAGTGAGTGCTCAGCCCCTAGCTGTGTGGGATGCTGCCTAAGAGGCCTACCTCTTTTTGCCCCAACTAGAATATTGAGGTGATTGCCATAGCTAAGTGTTGGGAAAGGCTGGAAGCAGAGAAGAAAGGCTGTGGAACCTACTCAGCATTCCACAGACTCCCATCAGGAAGCCTACCCACCAGCCACTGTGATACCTTGCATATGGACCTCCCATATGACCCATGGTCACCCCAGATGCTCTGTGCATCTCACCCCCATCTCCCTGAGGCTGGCTCCCCAAGAATGCCACGTTGGACAGCAGCTGCAAGCATCGAATATAGAGACAGATGGCTTGATTGTGGAATTGGAGCAAGGTATACAGAGTACTTCAGAGCACCACCCTAGGGGAAGCAAACAAGAGGCTGTCAGCACCTGGCTTTGTGGAAATGAGCAAAGGCAATAACTTAAGAATCCCCTTCCCCAAGTGGAAACATGGTTGCAGAGCAGGTGAATCCACAGAAGTAGGAGAGAGCCTCAGAGTTTTTAGCCAGGCAGATTAATGAAGGCTTTTCTCTCTTGAAGCTAGTCAATAAAGACTGGAGGAAGTAATCTTCAAATGCAAGGATCAAAATGGAAAACTTCAAGAAAACAAAAAATGGAAAAATGATATCACCTAAGGAGCACAATAATATTCCAGTAACAAATCCAAAGAAACTGAGATCTATGAATTGCCTGACAATAAATTTAAATTGTTTTAAGAAAATTTAGTGAGCTACTAGAGAAAGGATATACGGCTCTATGAAATCAGAAAATGCATGAACAAAATGGGAAGTTCAGCAAAGGGATAGAAATCATAAAAAACAAATTCTGCAGCTGAAGAATACAATGAGAAAGGACAACAAATGCAATAGTCAGCAGATTGATCAAGCAGAAGAAAGAATCTGAATTCAAAGACAGGTCATTTCAAAATATACAGCTAGAGGAGAAAAAAAGAATGAAAGTATTAAAGAGAGCCTATGAGATTTGTGGAACATTAAGAGCTAACATTTGCATTATGGAAATAATAAAGGAGAAGAGAAAGAAGGATCAGCAAGCTTATTTAATCAAGCAATAATGGCTGAAAGCTTCTCAAATCTGGGAGAGACACAGACATTAAGGTACATATATATAGCTCAAAGGTCTGCAGTCTGGTTCAACCCAAAGAAGACTTTGCCAAGACACATTGCACTCAAACAGTCAAAAATAAAAATTACGTTTTTCCCTTTTTATTTTAATTTTTATTTATTTATTTTTTAGACAGAGTCTCCTTCTTGTCTCCTAGGCTGGAGTGCAGTGCCATGATCTTGGCTCACTGCAACCACCTCCCAGACTCAAGTGATTCTTATGCCTTAGCCTCCCAAGTAACTGAGATTACAGGCATGTACCACCACCCCTGGCTAATTTTTTTGTATTTTTAGTAGAGATGAGGTTTCACCATGTTGGCCAGGGTGGTCTCAAACGCCTGGCCTTAAGTGATCCACCCTCCTTGGGCTCCCAAAGTGCTGGGATTATAGGCATAAGCCACTGTGCCCAGTCAAAACTCAAAGAGAATTTTTTAAAATTTTACTTGAAGTTCTGGGGTACCTGTGCAGATCTTGTAGGATTGTTGTATACATACACACATGCCATGGTGGTTTGCTCCCGCCATCCCCCCATCCACCTACATTAGGTATTTCTCCCAGTGTTATTCCTCCCCAACGTCCCTTAGCTCCCCACCCTGCAACAGACCCCAGTGTGTGATGTTTCCGTCCCTGTGCCGATGTGTTCTCATTGTTCAACGCCTGCCTATGAGTGAGCACATGCGGTGTTTGGTTTTCTGTTCTTGTGTCAGTTTGCTGAGAATGATGGTTTCCAGTTTCATCTATGACTCTACAAAGGACGTGAACTCATCCTTTTTTATGAATGCATAGTATTCCATGGCGTATATGTGCCACGTTTTCTTTGTCCAATCTATCATTGATGGGTATTTGGGTTGGTTCCAGGTCTTTGCTATTGTAAACAGTGCTGCAATGAGCATACGTGTGTGTGTGTGTGTCTTTATAATAGAATGATATATAATCCTTTGGGTATATACCCAGTAATGGGATTGCTGGGTCAAATGGAATTTCTATTTCTAGATCCTTGAGGACTCACCACACTTTGTCTTCCACAATGGTTAAACTAATTTACACTCCCAATGGTGTAAAATTGTTCCTGTTTCTCTACATCCTCTCCAGCATCTGTTGTCTCCAGATTTTTTTATGATTGCCATTCTAACTGGCATGAGATGGTATCTCATTGTGGTTTTGATTTGCATTTCTCTGATGATCACTGATGAGCATTTTTTCATATTCTCACCAGATCTACCTTGTGAGAAATACACAGTAGCTCACACCTGTAATCCCAGCACTTTAGGAGGTAAGGTGGGTGGATTATCTGAGGTCAAGAGTTCGAGACCAGTCTGGCCAACAATGGTGAAACCCCATCTCTGCTAAAATACAAAAATTAGCTGGGCGTGGTAGCAGATGCCTGTAATCCCAGTTGCTTGGGAGGCTGAGGCGCAGAATTGCTTGAGCCCTGGAGACAGAGGTGGCAGTGAGCCGAGATCTTGCCACTGCACTCCAGCCTGGCCGAGAGAGCAAGATTCTGTCTCAAAAAAAAAAAAAAAAAAAACCAAAAACTTGAACAAAGGACAAAGAAGACTATCCTTAATGATAATGGGGTAAATTCTTTAAAAGAGTATAACAAGTTGTGTTACACTTTAGACCAAATGGACTTAATGGACATATATCGAATATTCCATCCAACAGCAACAGAATACACAGGAACACATCAACATTCTCCAGGATGGATTATGTTTTAGGTCCAAAAGAAATGTCTTTAAAAGACATCAAAATAAGAAATACAATTGCAATAATCACATATTCCTTAAGCATCTTTTCTGACACAATGATATGAAATTACACAATTACATATCATTTCACAACGATATAAAATTACTAACAGGAGGAAAACTGGAAAACTCAAAAATATGTAGAAATTAACAGATTCTGAACAACCAATGAGTCGAAGAAATCAAACAGGAAATCAAAAAATATTTTGAGACAAATGAAAATAGAAATATTTTCTATTTCTATTATCATATTAAAACTTTGCAATGCAGCAAAAAGGGAGGTTACAGCAATCAATGCCTACATGAAGAAATGTCTTAAATAAATCACCTACCTTCACACCTGAAAGAATTAGACAAAGAAGAACAAACTAAGCCCAAAATTAGTAGAAGGAAGGAAATAAAGATGAAAACAGAAATGAAATCTAGATTAGAAAAATAATGAACAATGAAACTAGAAATTTTATGTTTTGAATAACAAAATTAGAGTAAGAAAAAGAGAAGTCTCAAATGAAATTTTAAACAAAAGAGGAGATATGACTACAACCGATAGCACAGAAATACAAAGAATCGTAAGAGGCTACTATGAACAATTGTATTTCAACAAACTGGATAACCCAGAAATTGATAAATTTCTAGAAACGTACAAGCTACCAAGGCTGAGTCATGAAGAGACAGAAAATCTGAGCAGACCAATAACAAGTAAGTAGATTGAATCAGTAATCAAAAGCTGTCCATAGAAAAAAAAACCTAGGTCCCGAGAGCTTCACTGGTGAATTCTGCACAAAGAAATTTATACCAGTCCTTTTCAAAGTCTTCCATAAAATTGCAGAAAATGAACACTTCCGAACTAATGGTCAGCATAACCCTGACATCGAAAGCAGTCAAGGACAGGATAAGAAAATAAAATTGGCAGGCGCGGTGGCTCAAGCCTGTAATCCCAGCACTTTGGGAGGCTGAGGCAGGTGGATCACAAGATCAACAGATCGAGACCATCCTGGTCAACATGGTGAAACCCCGTCTCTACTAAAAATACAAAAATTAGCTGGGCATGGTGGCGCATGCCTGTAATCCCAGCTACTCAGGAGGCTGAGGCTGGAGAATTGCCTGAACCCAGGAGGCGGAGGTTGCGGTGAGCTGAGATCGTGCCATTGCACTCCAGCCTGGGTAACAAGAGCGAAACTCCATCAAAAAAAAAAAAAAAAAAAGAAAGAAAGAAAGAAAAGAAAATTACAAGCCAGTATCTGTGATGAATATACATGCAAAAATCCTCAATAATATACTAACAAACCAAATTCAACAACACCTTATAGGGTTCATACTCACTGTGATCAAATGAGATTTATCCCTGGGATATAAGGATGGTTCAACATACACAATTCCATAAATGTGATATACCATAAGAGTAAAAATTATATGATCGCCTCAATAGATGCAGAAAAAGTATTTGACAAAATTCAACATCCTTTCATGATTAAAAGAAAAAATAGACATAGAAGGAACTTAACACAATAAAGACCATTTATGGAAACCCCACACCTAACATCACACTCGGTGGAAAGCTAAGATCCAGAACAAAGCAAAGAGGTCCACTCTTACCACTTCTATTTAGTAAGACTGGAAGTTCTAACAGGAGTAATCACACAAGAAAAAGAAATAAAAGACT